GCCTTTTCTGGAATGCATATTCTTAGAATAGTACAGTACACAGCCTTTATAGATTGGCTCTTTCACTTAGTAATATGCATTTAGGTTTCCTCTTTGTCCCTCCATGAGTTGATACCACATGAGTGCTGAATAATTCATTGTATGGATGTAGCACAGGTTATTTTTTTCATTAACTTAATGAAAGGCATCTTGTTTGTTTCCAAGTTTGGGGAATTACAAATAAAGCTACTATAAACATGTGTATACACATTTTTTGTGTGGATGTGTTTTCAACTCTTTTGGGGAAATACCAAGAGGCATGACTGCTGGATTTTATGATAAAAGTATGCTCAGTTTTGTAAAAAACCACCAAATTGTCTTCCAAAGTGGCCATGCCATTTTGCACTCTCACCAGTAATGAATACGAGCTCCAGTGAATGAGCACTCCACATCCTCATCTGCATTTGGTATTGTCAGTGGTTTGGATTTTGGCCATTTTAGGTGTGTACTTGTATCTCATTTAATTTGTAGTTCCCTAATGACATTGATGTTAAGTGTCTTTATATGGTTATTTGCTATCTGTATCTCTTCTTTAGTGAGAGATTTGTTCTTTGCCCATTTTAAAATTGTATTGTTCATTTTTTTTTGGTTGAGTTTTAAGAGTTCTTTTTTCATTTTTGGTTTATGTGTCTTTTGAAAATATTTTTTCCCAGCCTGTGACTTGTCTTCTCATCTTTTTTGACGTTGAAAAGCAAAATATTGAATGTAAGTCCATCAACACTTTTTTGGGGCATGAGGGCGTTTTGCCTGTTTTTCTGGCTTAATTTTGCTATACATTTGTCAACCTATATAAAATGTCTTACTGGAATTTTTATATTAAATTTAACTGTTTTTGGAAAATCATTGAAAGCATTTTTAATACTGTTGAATTAGCATGAAACTATCAATAGAAGGCATCTCTGTGTAGTTTCTTTATTCAATGAACCCCCAAATTATGGGGTCTCTATAATGTGGAAAAAAGTCTTCATTAGTTTTGTGAAGTCTTAATTTAAAAAACAAACATTTGTATTTTTAACAAATGCCAAGTCAGCATCTAGTGAGGTGATGATTTTTAAAAATTTATTTTGTTGCTATAATGCATGGTTTATTATTTTTACTGGTGTTGTGACAAATTTTACTCCTGGGGTTAAATTTTATGTTGTATAATTTTTAATATGTTATGTTCATTTAGAAAGGAGTTAAAACTACCTTCTTGGTCATGTAATATGTGCATTTATATGTGCAAGAGTCACCATCTTTGACAAATAATCCTAAATTGTCCTTTCTTGTAGGAAATATTTTTGGACTTGGTGGCTTTTTCACAGTCTGGGCGATAGCTATGTTGGTTTTGTAGACAGTGAGACCATCTAGACCACAGGATATTAGAAATAAAAGGAGACTTCAGCATTCTCCAGTTATGCCTCCTCCTTTACTGGGGGAGGAAACAGGCCCATAAAGCAGAATAACTTGGGCAAAGTCAATATGGGCTTGTGATCTTATAATTGTGGGGGAGGAAAAAACTTTCCTCTACCCTCAAGTTTCTTTTGTTTTTCTAATAATCAGATAGACATGAGACGGATTAGTAAGAGAAAATGACCACATTACATACATATGTATGGGCAACTCACCTACATGAAAGAGTCAGAGACCCCACATGCAGGAGAGGTTCATAGAGAGAGAACATGGGGATGTAAGATATCCTGAGCTAGGGATGAGGTACAAGTGCATGGAGGGCTTCAAAAAGTCATTATAGGATAATAGGAAGAGCAGATTTTAGTAAATATAAGTTTTCCCTACCCTATAAATGGTCAAAAGAAGTTATCTCTGATAATCTCTTATGGGCAAGGCCTCCATTTCACATTCTTCTAGGTAGTTAAGGCGAGTTGAGCTGAAGTTCCTCATGAGAGTGTGGCTAAAGTTTCCTTTAGCTCAAAACAATCTGCAAATTACAGAGTGATGTCTTAGGGTCACTCATTATGGGCCCCCACATAATCCAGATCTTCTCATAATGCAGTGCTGTTCACTGAACCAAATGCAATACCATACTGGGACATTCTATCACTGCATTCCGCCACCCAGTATGAACCAATAGGGTAAATGTCTTTCACATTACATTTATTTTATCAGTTGTTTGCTTGCTGGCTTCTTTGTTTGGCAATTGTGATGTTCTTGGGACTCACTCAGTTTCCAAGTTCCCTGTTGCAGCCATAGACCCTGGCATTTCTGCCCATGAGAATCACTCCCTCTTCTGGGTCAGTGATGAAGTCTGCATAATAACTTCTCTTTTTCAGGCACCAAAGCTGTGCCCTAGATGTCACAGTCACATGGATGAAAATAAAAGAAATTTAGTTTACTAGGCAGGTGACACTGAAAGGATAAGCTGTCCTTGTGGTGATGCTTCTACCCTCATGCCCCTTTCCCAAGATATCCAAAACAAACTGAGGGAGCAGGTCCACTGATTGTATAACATCTATTTTTTCTATGTAGTCTTCACTCTTTGGTATCCTATACTTACTATTTACGTTGTACTGAAGAAGAAGGAAGCCTTAATTTCTGAACCAAATCAGTTTTGAGTGATTATGAGGTTTTGTGAGTACATGTGTTTTTTTCCAAAAGATGTAAACTTGTTGCAAAAATATTGGAACATTTTGTGTATTTCATTGATATATGGGTAAAATGGGATAAAATATTTGAAAAGTGGCTATTCAAGAAAATACACACTCACTATGCTTTGACATATGCAGATAAGCCTAATCTCCATCACCCATCACTCAGACTCTGTCTTAAGAATTCCTGGCAAGCCCTAGTTAGGGCCAGATAGAATATGGTCTATGCCACAGGTCAGCATATGAGCATCTTCCTCTCCATGGGGGATTGGGTATGATATGAAATGAGGGAATGTGGGAGTTGAAAAAGTTAAAGAAATGGATCGTGACTTGAACAGTGCCTTTGAGGGCATCACATCCAAGTACTTTGTTAATGAAAATTCTGACAATGAAGTTTATTATGGACCTACTGTGATTGATTTGTGATTCTGAATTAAACCCCAAAGGTAATATAAGTTTCCAGAAGGGAATAAGGGGCTGTACATTTCTTAGTATGTTTTTAAAATTTCTACCTTTTCATCTTTCTATCCCATAATTGTCTCTCTTTGATTCCGGAACACTTCTCCCTATACAGAACTATCCACACCTGACACACTCTCATTTGGCTTTTTGTCTTGATCACAGAGACCAAAAGATCCTGGCTTGGCCCTGCCCTCAGCCTTCTACCTTCTTGCTCCTTGTATTGGACCCTACCTGCTTGGTGGGGTGCTGTTCTGCCATGTTGGAGTGAAGACCCATGGAGCCTGGGTTCCTGACTATAGTAAGGTGGGCAGGGTGGAGCTCAGGGGACAGGTTATCTGGGTGAAACACCTGGCAGAAGCCAAGGAGGCCTTCCTCCTTGATTGTATGGTTAGCGTCCAGAGTAGCAAGCTGATTAATCAGAGTGCTGGCTTTTCAGGCTGTGGGCCTGGGCCTGTGAAGGCTGCTCCCCAGTGCTTGACAGAGAACTTCCCAAATTTTGAGTCATCCAGGAATCTGGAGGCCTGGTGCTTCTGTACCAAATAAGAGAAGGTTGTGAATGGATGAGGGGGAGAGATCCCATCCCTGGGCTCTGCTCCCTTGCCTCCACTGTCCTTAGGGATCTTGCAATCGCTATCCATCAGGAATGGGCCTCACTGGTTCTGGGAGATGCAGTTGCCTGATGATCACGTGACGCAAAGGAAAGAGCTCTTGCTGAGTGTTGGGAGACATAGTGTCAGAGCTTATGGGAGCCTGTGTGTTCATTAGGAAAGTCAGGAAAACTACTTATGCTGGCTTCAGAGGAATGTTAAAATTAAGTCAAAGCATAAAGCCAATATGGTTTTGACCAATCAAAAATGCTCCTCACATGTAAAAGTTTATAATTACATTTGAAATTTATGTACATATGATATTACCTGTCAGTTATTCTTTTTCACGATTTCAGCACTTATCAACCTAAAGTGTAAAGATCTGTTTCTTTAAGAGGAATGGATTTTATTTCAATAGGGACAGCTCTCTAAGATAGGATCAAATTTGGTACCAACAGGGATCTAGGGAGTTCACCTTCTCCATTTCCTCATTGAGGTAGGACCATATCTGAAACACATCAAACTGAATTTTTAAAAAGTGTTTTGGAAGTCTTCTGCAGACCATGGTGCTGCTGTCTTTCTTGACTACCCAGACCTCTGTTGCTCAGTTGTCACTAATTGGAAAGTCATTTCTAATGTCTAAATGAAATCTTTGGTGTTGTAGCCTGACCATTTTTCTTTTAGTCTTTTTCTTGTAGTAAAGAAACTGACATATCCTTATGTTAGGGCACTGGACTCAAACTTTTATTAATTTTCTTGACTAAGTCCCTGATTTAAAAAAAAAAAATTTATTTTTTAGAGGGGGGGGAGGGAGGGAGAAAGAGAGGGAGAGAAGCATTAATGTGCAAAGTGTTTCCTCTTGCATACCTCCAACTGGGGACCTGGCCAGCAACCCAGGCATGTGCCATGACTGGGAATTGAACTGACAACTTTTGGTTCACAGGCCAGTGCTCAATCCACTGAGCCACAGGGCCTGCTTTTTAACTCCATTTTTTATGGCTTTCCTTTCTTATCTATCATTTAGTGTTCCCTTATTCTCTCAACTGAATGAAGAGAATCTCCTAGTATCTACCATGGTGAGGTCCAGCACTGAACCTGAGATTCCAGGGATTTCTGATGGGGAGGAGGGTGGAGAAGGCAGCCCTGGCTCCATAGTTCACTATTAGTTAAGAGCGATGGGAGGCCAACTCCTCCCTGTTTAGAAGAGACATACATTGGAAGTATAGACTTCCGAAGGCTTAAGGCTCAGACCTAGATATATTCCTAGCCATTACACCCATATCCATCTGGATGTCCTCTCCCTTGGGGACTATCAGAAAAAGGCCACTTACCCAGTACTGAATGCAGATGAGATGGGTGTCATTAAGCAGTTACTCATCCCTGAGATAGACAGAAGTCATTGTGTTATAGGGGTCTGGAAATATCTCCCTAAGATCTTTGAGCCCTGCTCACAGCCTTAGTTTGGAGTATAGCCAGTCAGAGTGGGAGACACTAGAACTTATGGGGAAGCTAAAGACCTACAGGCCTGTCAGGGAGACAGTTGCAGAACGTAGCACCAGCCACCTGGTCACTTGCAAAGCATCCGGGCATTAGGAATATGCCAAATGCCCCAGTCTTAGGGCATTGCCACTGGAGCAGGTCCTTGGCTCCTCATTTGTCTCCTTTCCTTTTGCATGGAAATTGATATGAGACTTCAATTCTTGTTTTATCATGACTTTCTCCCTCACCCCACTCCTTTAGGAAGCAGAAACACAACAGCAGCAGTTAGGATCCTAAATCTACATCCTTGATCATTAAGCAGGTGTTCCCAGGGCCCCACAGTGACCTCTTTGGAAATCAGCCTTCCTTGAATAAAGGAGAGCATCCTTCAAGCTGAGGTAAGCTGGGCTTTTTTGACTTGTTAATCCTTACGGATCAGCAGCCAAGAAAACTCTTCTCTGTATCTCATGATGGATTCTGCTTGGCCATATTTCCTTTATCGTTCTGGAGTGGAGTGGAGGTGACTGACCAGGCCTGGAGAAGGACCAGAGGGGGTTCTCTTTGGACTGGCTATATTTAAAGATCCTCAAGAAAGTTTGGACTCTTAGAAGCTCTGTTTTGTGAAGGGGCTAGAAAAGCATAGAGTAGTTCCAATTCTCACAGAGACCTCTGACTAGTCAGAGTCTTGTTTGATTTTCTCCTTCCTCTGATTCCTGTACTTACATATGAAGTCTCCTCAATCTTTCTGTGGGACTTGGGAGTTCCTGATTTAAACCTTATTTTATTCTGACATTAGAAGGTATTTCACTGGACTCAATCTTTTATATCCTTGATACTCAACGTCTTATCTGGCTGCTTTGGCATCACATTAGGAGACTGTTAGAAATATAGAATATCAGTCTCAGGCTCGCCCTAGACTTCCTGAATCAGCATCTGCTTTTAAGAATGTACCCAGGAGATTTGTATACATGCAAAAGTTTGGAAAGCCCTGATTTTCAAAAGAAGTCCTTTATGGGATGGGCGAAGGAAGGTGCTACACATATGGTTTTTATGCTCTAATTCTAGGCTCCTGTATATATTTGAGTATATTCCCCAAACACTAGAATTTGCATTTGGACATCTGGGAAATACAGATTGACCATCTTGAATAATCATTGTATTCTGACCTCTTTGCTCTTCAGTCCTTATGCCAGCTCTAAGCCCTTACAGCAGAACTGGGAAGCTGTTCACCTCTGTTTGCTGTCTCTCCTCTACTGAAAAGGGCCGTGTCTGACTCAGGGCTGAAAGTGTCTTCGGGCTCTCAACAGCCAGCTATCCCAAGGGAGAATGGGACCTTGCTGTCCCTGTCCAGATCCTGGGCTGGACAGAAGAGAGACTGGCCGTGCCATGGAAGTTCAGGGAAAGCCAATGCCAAGCGTGGCTGAAAGGGGAAAGAAGAAGTGGAGCTGGAGTCTAGCTCTCAGCCAAATGGAAGATCCAATGATGACACTTGGGGATGAACTCCTCCTTACTCCCTCCCACCACTTTTGGTTTATCCAAACCTTGGAATACTGCTTTTTTTACCTCGAATCCGAGCATCTTCCTTCATCTGAAAAATAATGAGAATTCAGAGGGGGTCAGAGACTCAGGGGCTATTTTCCTCTGGACCTTCAGTATACTGGCTATAGACTTGGTCAAAGGTAGGAATGTCTGTGTGGGAGACATGGGCTTCCTGGGAGCAAATTTAATTCTAAGTTTCCAGAAAGCAGAATTTGTGTTGTTTTGTACTTCTCACACCAAACCACTTCACATAATACCCTGCATACAGCATATGCTCAATAAATGTTTGTTGAATGGTGGGTAAATAAATGGAACAGGTCTTGGCCTCTTTAGGGGTAGGAGACACACAATTCATTACTTACAATCGTAATTACTCATACAGTGACCTCTCCTCTTTTATTTTTTCTGGACTTAAGCTCTCCCTTTTCTGGCCCTTTTTATCTTCCCCATTGAGTCTCCTCCAGTGGTTCTCTGAGGTGAACCTTGAAGTATCTGTGAAGGACCTTTAAATAAATCCTTCTTCTCATCCCAAAGTAAACAGCTGCTTGCTTATTATACACTTTGGGCCCCCAGGGCTCTCAGGAGCCTGGCTAGATGGTCATTCTGCATAACAAAGCTCTGGGGCCGGGTCTTAATGTTTGCAGGATCAGAAAGAAAATACATTCCAATTCACCTCTCCTTGCTGTCTTTTGCTTTACTTTCTTCTCTTACTCTTAAGTACAGAAATTGCCTCTCAAAAGCCTGGGTGAGGGTGTCTGTTTTGTCTGCGCCAGCCTGGAGGACCTACGCGGGCCGGGACTGTCTGATGGGCCGGGACTGTGTCTGATGGACTCCGTGAAGAAGCACCAGGAAACAGCTTCAGCACAGAGGACGTGTCAGACGGGACTTTTCATTGCTACATAGACCCTAAGAGGATAGAAATCAACAAACACAAGTCCCACTGATGCACAAGCCACCTCCTCTTACTAGTTCAAGTCCTTCTTGGAGGACACTCATGCCTCCGGGTAGGGTGGAGGCACCCTGACCCCGAGGCAAAACCTGGGGGAAACTATGAAGCTTCTGATCTCTACCCACGGCCCCCTTTTACCTGCAGCCAGTTGGAGGAAAAGGCTGCTGCCATTTTCCCTAGAGTAAGTCCCAGACACAGCAGCCAGAGACAATGACATGGCTTCTTGAACTAGAAAGGGGCGCAGTTGTAAGGCCAAGAGTGGTCCAGGTAGTGAAATAGAGGAAGTTTATTTTTAATGGCTTCTCAATCTTTTTATCCATCCCTTCTTACCAAGCAGGAAGAGAGAGCTACTACTTTTAAAACCAAGGGAGGCTTATGTTATATTTACATTTATATTTACAAGGGAAGCTTTATCTTTATTCAGAGGAACAAAAGTTAAGAAATCTGTGCAGACATCTCCCATTTGCCCTGGTTTTATAATATGAGTACTTGTCCTAAGTTTTGTGGGTGTTTGCCTGTGTAATGCAGGCACATTGTATAGATAGTGCCTGTTGCTCTCCACTGCAACAGACAGGAAAACAGACAGACAGACAAACAAACAAACAAACCAACAAACCAAAAGCAAGGTGGGACAGCAGGCTTGGTAGGACCACTACGGCAACACTGGAAGCAAGCTAATGTATATACTCAGTGTCTGGGGCAGGCCAATAATCTAGCATATGTTTGACTATATTTTTAAATATTTTATCAGGATTTCTATAGGAGAAAGACTGAAATCTGCACGGAGAAAGAGCAGAGGGGGAGGGTTGTTTCTGTTTAGCAAAGAAGTTTAGCTCTGGCCTCTAATTTGCACTTCCCTGCAGTTAATAGATATACTCTCCTAATAAGGCAATTCAGCATGCGACTTGGGGACTCCTCCTGACGTAGTCACTTATCAGCATTTCATATAACTGCATAGAGTATTCTTGCCGAGAGAATTTCTGGTAGACACAATTTTCTCTCTAGCTGCTCTTTAAAGGGAGAAATTATGAAATAAAGAAATGAAAGAAAAGAAAGAAAAGAAAATGAAAAGGTATGGAAAAAACAAACAAACAAACAAACAAACAAACAAACAAAAGAGAGCAAAGGAAAGTGATGTGGCCAGGGAATTTAGGACATTGAAATTTAATCTCACCTCCTTTCGTATATCATTAAAAGCCATTAGCACCTGGCGGAAGACAAAAAAAATTATGGAAAAATTAATATTATAGACTTTATTATAAAGAGATTTTATATATAGAATCTCCCAGTCATTAGGCTATAGAGTGTGAATGCCAAGAGACTATGGCTTCCCAGCAATAAATCCCATTGACTTTCACTCTCCATATATTTCTGGGCCACCATTTCTCCATATGGGAAATGGGTGAGATACAGGAAGTTATTTAAGAACGCTGAGTTGTGAAAGGAAAAATGGGAGTCATTATTATATGGAAGTGTAGAATTGCATGATCACTTTGGAAAAAGCTCTGGCAGTTTCTTATAAAACTATGATCTCACCCAGCCATAGAGGATTACAATGACTATTGAAAACCTCAGCTGCCTCATTGGGGAAAGGATGAGGGCTTTAAGACAGATAGCTTTATCTTATTCTGTGGAGATAGAGTTGTTTTTGTTGATATTTAGGAGTTTTTTCATGTGTATAAAGGGTGCATGTGGAAACTGAATAGTCAATGGGGTAGACTGTGACAGTCATTAATTTATTGCCACTCTTTGTTGTATCATATTCACCCTTTGTTTTAAGTATCCAGTGATGTGCTGGTTCCCAAAAGAATGGTTTTCTGACCCTTACATAAGCAACTCACTCTTCAGCTACTATTATAATTCTAAGAACATTAAACATTTATCCTAATATAATATTTTAATTAAGAAGATTTCCTTTTGTAAAACATATAGGAAGGATCATTGAAATCACAGAAAATAAAAAAGTTGATTACTCATTTCATATACTATTGTTCAATGTGGGCTTGCAGGAGAGCCTATGGAGACTTTTTCTCATTTTTAATAAAAAAATTATAGTCATTGATTAAATAAATACTCTTTTCTTGCTTGGCTCCATATGGGAGGTTGATATTATAGTTTTAAAAGTGATCAATTTTACTCTAATTCTTGTCTCTATCCAAGGGTTATCCAAGATTCAGAAGCTGTAGCAGCTAATATTATTCGAAGGCCTCAGGAACCCTGAGTAAATGTCTGTATTATGAAAGTTCACAGCAGTTTTCTCTGTCTTATGAGCATAAATAGCTTCTACACCAATATACCATTTAAATAAAAAGTGAAATCTGGCATTTTTATGTTTGAGAATTGGCTACTTTGTCATTTTCATATAGCTGGGAAACCAAGGGCATTTTTGTCAAAATAATCAAGACATCAGTTTTTATAGGATTAAAAGAAGCTACTCTCAAACTCATTGTATTTAAGTGTATTTTAAAGCAATTTCAGAAAGCAGTGCTTAGTCATGTAGATTCTGAGACTTGCTGCTCATGGCATTGCTTCCGTTAGAAGACAACAAATTCCTGCTGGTGACCTAATGAGTATTTTTCATTTTCAACTCATCGTTTTTCAGATCCCAGAATCCTCTCCTGATAGGATTCAGTAATTTTATTCATTATCAACCATCTGATTTAACTATCTTCTACAATCAAAGAGTTTTTTTGCACTGAATTTCTTTAAACCAATTTAAGTGGTTTAATCTAATTTCCTTGAAATGAAATCAAAATAATATCTTTTTTTTTTTAATCACAGGAAGGACAATTCTTTACATCCAAAGTACAGACTCTTATTATTCTTTTTACCTTCTTCTCAAAACTTAGGACTCTCCAACAAATAGCAGGTCTGAGTCTCTCAAATCTAATAAATTACAGAACAGGAAAGCTCCAGTCATACTTTTCTAGTGTTAGCCATTATTCTCATTTAAACTATTGCCAAGAAATTCAGGAATGTGTAGGACATTTTGAAGTATTTAAAAAATTTTGTTGGTAACCTCTGATGCCACAGAGCAAATCTGGCATTTGTGCTCATTCAAATCTTCATTAAAATCCTCTGAAGAAATTCAGAACAGGTAGAAATGCCTTCACAACAAAACAATTTCCCATTATAAATAATGCAAAGCAGAATGGTTTCCCAACTATTGAAATTATGCTGGAATTATATCTGAATGACTTAATCCAATTTTTATGTCTTTTAATGTCTTGATATAGACCTTCCAGCCACAGCCAATGAGAGAAAAACAATTCTCTGTGCTTATGACAAGATCCTAATCATGTTCTGGGCAAGACCTTCAGAAGCAATGGGACCACTTGGCATCTTACTCTCAGAAACAACAGCTCACTAGCAATTATACTAAAATTAATCATTTTTATGAACTAAATTTGGCATTCAAATGTATAAAACTAAACACCTCTACTCTTCAGGTTGATTCATTTCCTTTCTGAGAGGTTTATTTTGAAGCTAACTCATTCTGGAGGGCCACATCTTTCAGGACATTATGTTTTATGATGCAGGAATCAGGAGCCACAGTCAAGTATTTGTCAGATGATTTGAATGCCTCCAGAGGTAAAATAGCTTTTCTGATCAGAAATGGAATTAAGGCCTTTACTTTTCATAATGAAAAGGTAACTTTGCCTCCTTCTCATCTGAGAGTTAAAGTAGATGGTTTTCTCAGTACTTGCCCTAGGGTACTTGCTGGTAGATTGTAAAAGGCTGGCAGAGAAAACACGTTTGAGAGGGTTTATCTAATGGACTGGTGGATGTTGAGAAGGGGCGTTGAGATGCACAGACACCAAGAGTCTCAGAATTTAGGACTGGACAAGTAATAGAACATGATCAGAGAGAGTATGGTAATTCTTTGCCATCAATCAGTGAGTTACTCAAGGAGAAAGAAAAAAATTTGCTCTTTTCTTAAGCCCTCTCTCCCTCTTCCCACCTGTCACCATGCTGTCAAGCCGGTGACAGCTGTACTCACCTGGTCCCACAGGGCTTCAGTGAGCATTACCTGTATTTCCTATTGAAATAAGAGACAGATCATGGGAACATTATCCTACCTCTTGTAGGATCTGAATTGACACAGGTGAAACTGATAGACTACAAGGTATTTTTGGAATTGAGATGGCCACTTGAGATCACCCCATTTATCAGGTAACCCCAAGTCTCCTTCAGATTTTACTGGGTCATTTTCAGCCCATATCTCCTGTCATCTCTTAAACTATCTGGTAGATGAGAGGTATAAAAAGACTCATATATTTGTCCACATTATCAACACCCACATAGCCTGCCTTCTCCTGGACTCATCTAGTGTGGCGGGGTTGTTGAAGGTATTACTAGTCTTGGTAGCCAGTGATTCACCAGCTGATCCAAAGCACTTGAACTACAGAGCCCATGTCCTTCAAGATATTGTCCTTATCAGGCAGCTTTCTTGCTCTCTTTTCACCACTTTTCCTAGGAACCAGGAGCCCCAAAGGAACCATTGTCTTTGGAAATCTTACCGACCTTTGGCTTCACTGTTTCTTCAGTGGATTTTCTGGAAACAAAGGATGATATAATTCTAATGAGGCACTTGGGGCAGGGGTGGGTGTGTGTGTGTGTGTGTGGCATGAACCACATGGCAGAATAGGAGATTTCAGCCCTCATATTCCCCATGGAAACATCAATTTTGACAATTATTCATGGACGGGAATACCTCTGTGGAAAATCAGGAGTCCAGTGAAGAGATCCAAGCACCTCATTTAAACAAAGTCCATAAATAGATGCATTGAAGAAGGTAACAAAAAACAGCTTCAGTTAACCCATGTCACCTCTCCTCAGAGGCAGCATAGCTCAGTGCCAAGAGAGAGCCTTTCAGCCTGTGATTCTCCCAAGAGGGAAAGTGAGAGTGGAAAGAGCACCCTGCTTCCCCAGCCTCTTCAGACACCACCCAAGAGGCCCACTTTTGCCTCACACTACCCGGATCCCAGAGGTGAGCAGCACAGCTGAATAGTGGTAGTCGGGGAGCTGGGAGCAGGGAAAAGGAGCTGCACTCATAGCAACCATCACATGGATCTCAAAAACCAACTGCAGATCCTCTTAGCTGGTTTGTAGACTCCACCAAGAGGCTTACCCATGAACTCCATGGGATATACAAGAGATTTATAAGAAATAAAGAGAATGGAATGCAAACACATTATAGAAAGTCAACATTACAAGAGAAGAGAGCAAGAAAATAAGAAAGGGACAGAGAGAAACTACAAAAATAATCAGAAAACAGTAAAATGGCAATAACTTACACACTTATTATGTAAATGGTTAAATGCTCCAATCAAAAGATAAACAGATAAAGAGATGTTATATAGAATGGAATATTACTCGGCTATTTAAAAAATGAAATCTTACCATTTGTGACAACATGGATAGACTGAAAGGGTATTATGTTAAGTGAAGTAAGTCAGACAGACAAATATATGACTTCACTTATATGTGGAATCTAAAAACTAAATAAGCAAACAAACAGAACAGAAACAAATTCGTAGATACAGAGAACGAACTGATGGTTTAAATTCTACATATATATGCACCCCAAATAGCATGTGTAGATTTACAGTTGTTAGTATGCAAAACAGAGTCTATTCCTGTATTATTATTGATTAATTATTGTATTATTTTCCGTAAAAACAATTGTTCATATGGAAAAAACACATCGGGAAGAGAGAGAGGGGGAAAGAGAAAAGGAGGGGTAGGAAGGAGGAGGGGTGAGAGGAGAGGAGAAGAGAGAAGAAATGCATTCAGAATTCTAGAGATTTATTCCTGGAAATTGGGACAAAGAAGATTGAATCTCCGTGAACCAGGCACTGAGGTGGTGCTTTGATCCACACTTCTTATCCTCACACAGTCCTGTGAGGGAGGTGTGGGTGGACTAGTTTACTGTGTAGACTCTGATATGCTAAATCATAATAGTGAAAAAGCTGAAATTCCAACTCAAGTCACATCTGTTTGATTCCACTCTTTGTTATGACTTCTTTAAAGGAGCTTAAGTTTTTATGTCCTCCTTGTTTTATAGCTGAGTTAGTGGAAACCTAATTCCATTGCAGTGGGGACAAATTGGAACTTGGAGAGAGAAAAGTTTGGATTCCAGCTTCACCAAGTTCCAGTTCCAGTATTTTGGCAAGTCTGTTTGCCTGTTATGAATTTGTTTCCTCACCTAAAATGTGGGAGGAATGATTTTTATTTCATAGGGCTTTTGTTGGTGGTGGGGGGGTTATATAAAAGCCTTTGTAACTGTGAAGTTTCTTTCACATATCATTGTTATTACTATTTTTACAGTGTCTTGCCCACTTCTGCTGGCAAGACATCTGTCTATCAGCAGAGAAGTCAGGTGTCTGGTGTGGTTTATGTGCTTTTCTCTGTAGAACTCTCAGAGACCCCAGTGTCTACACATGGTTATCCTCATAGTCCTGCTGCTGCCTGGAAGGGAATCCATACTCTTACAACAGGTTTCCATTTCCCTCCAAGTTTCAGACTTCTCAATTCATCACTGGCTCTCAGACTCCAGGCCCAGTTGACCATTCTGAGCACTTTAATAAGATAGGCAGCCTAGAAACCTAGAAGATAACTTTTAATCCTCTTTCTTCCTGAATTCCTATAATCTCAAAACATACCACATACTTCAAAGCTCAAGCCAAGTCCCAATTCCTTTCTGAAACTTTCCTGTCCTGTAAGCCCACAGGAAGCCCTTTTGTGCCTGACTTTATGGATAACATAGCCTGGGTCTCATATTCAGTCTCAAGCAACAGATTCTGGCCCCCTCTCCACCCAGTCCAAGGGAAGCATAATTTTGGATGGCTGGCCTTAATTTACACTAAAGAGGAAATAAGGACTGCCTAGAGAAGGTCGATCCTGGGATAAACAAATGTCCCTAGGTAGTATACCCAAGTATCGCCTAGAAGAATGTCAGATTAATGCCCACTCTCTAAATTAGAGTGGTAAATATTTTCTCTTGTGTCTTCCATTGAGGAGGAAGAGAAGAGGACACATGAAAGTCTCCACCCTCCCCAGCCAGGAAATGGGTGCAGCTGGAAGAGGGATGGGAGACAGGTGACCCTAGTTTTTCTCCCATAGAGCATATCCAAGTCTAAGGACTTCTGAAGGTCATATTAGCCCCACTTACTTAATCTGCTGCCTGGATATCCTTTCTGCCTTTTGTTCTTGATCTTGGAAGGCATGCTCTGCCATTTGTCCTTGAACAGAAACCAGAGATTCTTGAGTTGCTGATGGAGGTCATTCCAAGCCCTGGGCAGGCATAAGTGAAGAGGAAGAGACAGTGGGTGAGTAGTGAAAAGAGAAGCACCTACCCCCTGGAGAACTTCCAGGACAGATGTCTCAGTGGTTCAGGAAGCATCTGTGTTTTGAATGGGTATGTGTGTTTGTGTGTTAACATTGATACATATGTGTAAAGAAAGATAAAAGTGAGAGGAGGGAAATGTTTGCCCCAAATGAAGTCTTTGCCTTCTTTTCCAGTAAGAACAGAAATTCCAGGGAGAAAGTGAGTGGAAACAAAGAGAGAGAAGCAATCGTAAGTAAAAAATAACAGCTGGCTGAAATTGGGGCTAGAGAGTTGGTCAGAGGCTCCTTGAGGTGAAGGCAGGCTATAAAGCAAGTCTAGGAATTAGTGTATAATGAATTCAAGACTGGCAGATGCCCCATCCTGTCCCAACTCACGGTCGGCTAAGTGCAGCACTACAGGCTGGTGGTCTTTCTGTTCCAGCTTTGTGGGGAGAAGAGAAAGCACAAGGGGCTGAGAGGCCAAAACAGTGACATTTGAGAAGCTGCCTCCTGGTCTCTCCCTCCCATCCTTCCCCGCATTCAAGTCTGGGACAATTGTGCCCAGAAACTTACCCAGATGGGTGCCCCAAATCCCACTGTGCCCCAACCCCTCCCCCTATAACTTCTCTTTGAGCCCCATCTCACAATAGCCCCATTTCATTTGCTGCCTTACCCACCTCACCCTTTTCAACTCTTGTGACCTCAGCAGTGACCTCATAGATCTGAACAACTGGCTCTCCCCTCCCACCCTCAGCCCAGGCTCAATTCGATCTGAATGATAATAATAAAATAATGAGACAATGTGAAATTGTCATTTCTGGACACGTTTGCTGCCTCACTGACCTCCAGTACTTCTGAGGCACAAAAGGAATGAGCCCAGAAAAAGAGTCCATTTTTTACTTTGAATTTCAAAACAGGGTACCAAGAAATTGGCTTTATGTCTCAAAAAGTCTTATTTCCAAAGTTTTATTTTATTAAATATCAATATTTAAGTTATTCTACCTTTCTTTTTGACCATGATTTCCTCATTTTTTAGCATAGCAAGGGCTTCGAAAGTGGAAATGACTTTGGTATAATAATAAGGTGAGGCTCCATGACCTCAATATCAACTCCATGGTCAGGCCTGGGTTCATACATATTCCAAGAAAAGCCTGTCTTCTGGACTGGTTCTTGGCTGACTCCTGAGAGAGAATCTCTGAACCCTAGGAATATTCTGCCTGAAAAGAGAGATTTTATAACCTGAAGGTTTGGGCAATGCCATGCCAGTTTGACCAGATAACTTTATATTTATGGTGAATGCCTGCGTTTTGGTCTGGAGGAGACGTCCGTCTGAGTACCTGAGGCCATTCATATGGGCACTGCATGTGACTGACTCTCACTGAAAATCATGGACTTCATGGCTCAGATGAGCTGCCCTGGTTGGCCACGCTTCACACGTGTTGTCATATCGTTACCAGGCCAGGACTGGCCTGAAGAGGGTCTGCCTCAGGCTGGCCTGTAGTGTGTGGGTTCTTGATTTTGTGTAAGAAAGATTTCATGAATCCGGGTGATTTTGAGAGTACGTTTATTAAAGCTGGGGATACTGCAACAAAGAAAGGACTTAGTGTAGAAGAAGTAACAGGAGAGAGTCTAGGCAGTGCTCTGCTTTGGCTCGCTAGAAAAGTTACAGGAAAGAAGTGATAAAAAGCGGGGCTGCTTTTAGCTCACTGGGAAGTCAAGGAAAGAGGGGGTCCTGGAGACAGGGTCAGGGGTAAGCCCGGGGCCAGCTGCCACTGCCCTCATCTCCTCTGGCTGCAAGTCTCGTGGGGACGCCTAGAGTTTAGGAGGAAGTAAATAGTTCATGCCGGGGAAGGGCCATGGGTGTGCTCTAGAGGAAGCCCTTGCTGGGTCTTTGTCCTGAGGGTTTTTATCTCTCTTCTGTGGGTGAGAATCTTGGGGGAGGGTTTTAGCAGAATACTCTTCAGCTTTCCAGGTGCGTTTTTAACATACCGATGCATCAAAATGAGCGAATAAGGGAGGGCTTGGGGCTATTTTTTGGTCTGCTTTACTGTTTTACTTTTATCTTGGGCCTGTCTGGCTCCAATGGGGTTTTTGTTGTGTTCCCCTGACTTCATCTCTCCTCGGGTTTAGCTGGTGCACACGGCATTAAATGGGTCTCTTTTCTCTATTTTCCCCTGACCTGAGTGACTTAAGCTATTCATTCTCTGGTCAGGGAGGAGAGTTATAAGCCATTTGCTCTCAAGTGTCCTTGGTTAGGAGAGATAAAGTCTTATGATTTGCCAGCTGGCTGGAAGTTGTTCAAATTGTTTGGCCTTGTTTGATTTTCTTGTCTCAGTTTTCCTATTCTGCTTGCCCCCAAATTTTTCTCACTTCTTATTATCCTGTCACAACGCATCATTACTGGGAGAATTAAATGTGCCCCCATGCTACTCCATGGGGAGGGGGCACCTGGAAACTGGTACCTGGTTTCTCCTGGATTTTCCCACGTGTATCTCTTTCCTTTGGTGATTTTGATCATTATCCTAAATGATACAAGTCTCTGAAAAACTATAACCATAATTATGACAGCTTCTGGGTCCTGTGAGTCTTTCTGGTGAATCATTGAGCCTGATGGTAATCGTGGAGATGCCCCAGCCCAACCCCCCAAATCTCAGTGATTTAAAACTGGAAAGGTTTATATTCTGTTCATATTACATGCCCTTTCTGGGTGGGCTTGGGGGAAGGGC